CCCCCCCCCCGACAAATTTTATTCAAATGTCCCACTTTTCCACATCCATAGCATTCAGTGTCTTTATATCTACAGACAGCATGCGGATGATGTTTTCCACATCGAAAACATTCCTCTTTATCTTGATTAACTGGTCTTCCAGTGTATACTGAACCTTTTTTTCCCCTATAGGTCCCTTACGTCCCTGGATTTTGTTTACTTCTTGTGACCGACCTTGACCTTGCTTAGACTGTAAATCTGCTACATTTTTTGCCGCCATTTCTAACGCCACCGCCATTTTCATAGCTTTCTCGAATGTCAATTCAGATTCCGACAGTAGTCTATGTTGTATTCTGTCTTCCTTTATCCCACAGACAAGCCTATCCCGTAACATCACTTTCAATGTATCCCCAAAATTACAATCTTCCGCCAGCCGCCTAAGCTCAGACACATACACAGCTACCGTCTCGCTTTGGGCTCTAAATCGACTGTTGAATGTGAACTGTTGAACGATTTCAGATGGTTTTGAGTGATGATGTTTTTGAATGAAATCTTTTAACTCTGTGAAAGATTTCTCTCCGGGCTTTACTGGGGCCAATAAATAACTCATAAGTTTGTAGGTCTTTCCCCCACATACCGATCAAAATCGACTTCTGTTTCCCTTGGTCATTAATGTCATTTGCCACAAAATAATGTTCAAGGCGTTCAATATACTGATTCCATACCTCCGTTTCAGGCCGGAATTCCTCGATTTTTCTATATGCAGCTATTACCGGGTTCTCCTGTTTGTCCTACAACAGGTTGCTTAACATTAACTCTGCCTCGTCGCCAATGTAATAACTTCAAAGTCCTTTCCTAGGATCATGCTCGGTGGCTTGTTTATTCATAGTGATGGCTGCTTACAACACGTGCGCGATCCCATAATACCCTAGCAGAGGAAGGGAGGTAACTCACTATACACTATATACTTCAAGGTTGTGCTATACTATCGTTTACCATTTACTACATTTGTTTACTTTGTACCAGCTGTATTCCTGCACTGGCCGTATCACTGTAAATTGTAGTATACAGTCTCATATACTGCAATTTGGTTTACTAACGACATATACAATGTAGGCTAATCCAACACAAGAATGTAAATATAACTGTGTATGCATGCAGTAGCAGGTCATGGAGAGAAAATACATTTCTGCTACCATGATTGTCCCTTGGTCCAACCCTTCCCCTGGGGATTTGTGGTACTAACTTGAAAACAGTTGAAATTTCCATTCTACAATTATAGAACTGGTTGTAAGGCATGAAAAGATGAATATAATCATGCAACCAGGATAAGCCATATAATATGCCCACTAACCTGAGAATATAGTTCCAGGGTCATAACAAGGGCCAAATAACCATATATGTATATGCATACATTTTTACATGGATCTCAGGCAAATTTGTAGTGAGGTATCCATAGTCTTTGTAACCCTTGGAAACAATTGCTGTTTAATAACAGGAAGACAGTAGCTTTCCCTTAAGTGCTGAGTGGCAAAGCCCAAAGGAAAAAAAGTTTGGATGCATAAATTAAAATCCTATTTCTCCTGACTAGTTGATCATAATTCAACCAAATTTGCTATGAAGCATCTTTTTGACCGAAGATCTAACTGATGCATAAAGGAAGGACATTGTGTGATTCAGTGTTGATAAGTAGATTCCAAACTATTTGCTATGTACTATGAACTACCATTTTAGTATGTACTAGGAACTGCCATTTTAGTATGTACTATGAACTGCCATTTTAGTATGTACTAGGAACTGCCATTTTAGTATGTACTAGGAAATGACATTTTAGTATGTACTAGGAATGCCATTTTAGTATGTACTAGGAACTGCCATTTTAGCATGTACTAGGAACTGACATTTTAGTATGTACTAGGAACTGACATTTTAGTATGTACTAGGAACTGCCATGAATTGACCGCACCTTCATACTGATATGGCAAATTTAAAAAAAAATGTTGACTAAGCTTTGAAAAAGTGATTTTTTATATTAAGGATATATGCTGCATTACTATGACATGAGTCGCCTATTCAGACGAGTTACAATTTGTTTTATACTGTAAATTATCTGATGGGAACCTGACTTTGGCTGGAAATAAATACTGAGATGTACACAACATTGTAGAATGTTCATATTGAGTCAAGTTACCATACTTAGAGAAATCTATTACAAAAATAAATAAATTGATGATTTTACAGCCAGCTACAGGTGTTTAAAAATGTGTTTCTTTTTCATTATTATAAAAATGCAATTTGTTTGCCTTTTTCAATACATGACAAAAATTATATATATATATTGTAATTATATAAGCATTAAGTTATATGGGTAGAAAATTGTTCCAACTTCAAATTTGATGGAATGAAAATGTTAAAGATTACATATCTTGAAAGTAAAATATTTTTAAAAAATAGCAAAACGGTCACTGTATTTATACGTCTCTGCACAGGATTAAAATAAAAATTTCAATTTAAGCTATTTTAACAACACTGAAACAAGTTTTTTCATATTTTTACACTTTTGATAACTTGCTTGGTGTCATCATAATAAAGATTAGAAGTGTGTTTTTAAGCTAGTGTGAGTAGCAATTTTAGTTAATTTATCAATTCAGATGATGGCAGGGCATTAAATGTATATTGAAAATATGTACACTTGTGGTATATCATTAATAACATGTTTGTATTCATAATTGTGAGTCAAGGTATCACGCTAACTGTAATTAGTTGTGTTTTTGGATGCAATCACTGTTACAGTTTAATGGTGATTTAACTGATGAGAACCCAACAACCGACGGTGTGTCTGTGCAGTACTAACCATGTAGTGTTTCTTTGTAAGCCAAGTAAAGCGATATGCTAAGTTGTAGTCATGTCTTTAAAACCTCAGGAAACGGTGAGTGCAGAAAGTATATCAAACCAAAGAAATCAATTTCTCGCCCATCCTTTGTGTAAGATGCGCTCCTGTACATTGGAGAGTTGTTTTTACCCAAACCTGCCCTGGCTGTCGAATTAAAAGTTGAGTTAATAATGGAAATGTGGAATAGACTGGATAGCTTTATATACTGGGTTTCTATGTTATCAGATCAATGCAGTAACAGTCCTTGCCGCTGTTTTTTTTCTATGGTTTAACCCATCCCGAAGAATGCTGAATATCTCAATTATGGAAAAATCAATCTGGAAGCTCCTCGTGAAATCACATCACTCGACCTCTGTCATGTGAGAAATGTGTTATGCAATGGTAGCACAATTAGCGTTCAAACAGAATAAACTGTAAACCTCTTATGGGAGAACTCCACAGCATGGTAATTATAGTCGTCCAATTAAAATGTGAGGCAATTGTACAAAAACATAATGGTTTAAATAAGCATGCATGCAAGCATGTTTTAACAGAGGAAGACAGCATCACTTGGCAGTTTTGCTGAGATATCCGGAGTTCATTTATAGTTTCAGGACAGCCATCATTGAACATAACACACTTTCAAAACACAACATCAAAATAGTTTTTTTTGACATGTTGACATGGGTTAAAGGTGTGGTAGTGGTGTGGCCGAATTCTGAATCTGAGAGGTTCACACACGAGTGTCTCATGGCCACCTCAGTCATTTGTAGGGAGGTGTAAATCAGCGCCTGATTGTTTTATTGACTGAGTAGTGAAGGCAAAGACCCTGGTTTATTGCACTGGTTTTCCCTCTGACAATGTTTAAAGGGTAATTTAAATGCATTCTGAATCATACAATTTGATGTAATGTCGGGCCTCCGATCAAACTGGTCCACAGCCTGTGTATCAGGACGAAGGGAGGTAAGTCTTACTCTACTTCAACATATTAAAACAGTACTGATGTGTATCTCCTTGACCAGATTACATATTTTTACTAGAAAATATATAAAATGTGGGCTGAGGTTTTGAAATCATACATATCCAAAGATATGTATTTAAATCCTTTTTTTATTTTTGTCAAGATTATGTTATAAGTAGAGTAATGGAGCAATCATGTGATAACTGTGTTGACCTTGTTCTAGATCTGTCCTGTAGTTGAAGATTAGAGCAGCAATTAATTTGCAAAGCAACATTCTCATTGGCTGTCAACATCTGGGTCATACAATCTAAATGATTCAGTTCCTATTAACAGTTACATGTCAATGTTTTAAGTTTAAAAAACTCTTCCTCGTCTCTTGATCTGCTTAAGTATTGATTTTAAGAAAAGGAGATGATGGGTAAGGGTGAAGCTAATGTGTCCTGTAACAGTCACCAGTCATGTCAGTAGACATTCAGGTGGTAAAACAGATATATACTGGAACTTAATACAATATACCCAACAATGCCATGTCATGGTTTAGAAACTGAGGATCAATTTGAAAAAAAAATACAAATTGGTCCACATAATGTGCTTATATATAGCTGTAAGGTTATTTTCACATGTTTGTGATGCTATCAAACTGTGTCCATATTTACGAATTTGACCGATTGATAATTGTCCAAAATGTCAGCTTGTTATGTCGAAAAAGTCACTTAACCAACTGTTGATTGTACCATTGTCTGTAGGTACAATGTTATTGGAAGTACCATTGTCTGTAGTTAGAAGATTATTGGTAGTACCATATTGTCTGTAGTTACAAGGTTATTGGAAATACCATTGTCTGTAGTTACAAGCTTATTGGTAGTAGCATTGTCTGTAGTTACAAGGTTATTGGTGGTACCATTGTCTGTAGTTACAAGGTTATTGGTGGTCCCATTGTCTGTATTTACACGGTTATTGGTAGTGCCATTGTCTGTTGTTACAAGGTTATTGGTGGTACCATTGTCTGTAGTTACAAGGTTATTGGTGGTTCCATTGTCTGTAGTTACAAGGTTATTGGTGGTGCCATTGTCTGTAGTTACAAGGTTATTGGTGGTTCCATTGTCTGTAGTTACAAGGTTATTGGTGGAACCATTGTTTGTAGTTACAAGGTAATTGGTGGTACCATTGTCTGTAGTTGCAAGGTTATTGGTGGGACCATTGTCTGTGGTTACAAGGTTAATGGTATTACCATTGTCTGTGGTTACAAGGTTATTGGTGGTACCATTGTCTGTATTTACACGGTTATTGGTAGTGCCATTGTCTGTTGTTACAAGGTTATTGGTGGTACCATTGTCTGAAGTTATATGGTTTTTGGTGGTACCTGTTGTCTGTATTTACATGGTTATTGGTGGTACCATTGTCTGTAGTTACATGGGAATTGGTGGTGCCATTGTTTGTAGAAACAAGGTAATCGGTGGTACCATTGTCTGTAGTTACAAGGTTATTGGTGGAACCATTGTTTGTAGTTACAAGGTAATTGGTGGTACCATTGTCTGTATTTACACGGTTATTGGTAGTGCCATTGTCTGTTGTTACAAGGTTATTGGTGGTACCATTGTCTGTGGTTACAAGGTTAATGGTATTACCATTGTCTGTAGTTACAAGGTTTTTGGTGGTACCATTGTCGGTAGTTACAAGGTTATTGGTGGTGCCATTGTTTGTAGACACAAGGTTATTGGTATTACCATTGTCTGTAGTTACAAGGTTATTGGTGGTCCCATTGTCTGTATTTACACGGTTATTGGTAGTGCCATTGTCTGTTGTTACAAGGTAATTGGTGGTACCATTGTTTGTAGACACAAGGTTATTGGTATTACCATTGTCTGTAGTTACAAGGTTTTTGGTGGTACCATTGTCGGTAGTTACAAGGTTATTCGTAGTGCCATTGTCTATTGTTACAAGGTAATTGGTGGTACCATTGTTTGTAGACACAAGGTTATTGGTATTACCATTGTCTGTAGTTACAAGGTTATTGGTGGTCCCATTGTCTGTATTTACACGGTTATTGGTAGTGCCATTGTCTGTTGTTACAAGGTAATTGGTGGTACCATTGTTTGTAGACACAAGGTTATTGGTATTACCATTGTCTGTAGTTACAAGGTTATTGGTGGTGCCATTGTCTGTAGTTACAAGGTAATTGGAGGTACCATTGTCTGTAGTTACAAGGGTATTGGTGGAACCATTGTCTGTAGTTACAAGGTTATTGGTGGTTCCATTGTTTGTAGTTACAAGGTTATTGGTATTCCCATTGTCTGTAGTTACAAGGTTATTGGTGGTCCCATTGTCTGTATTTACACGGTTATTGGTAGTGCCATTGTCTGTTGTTACAAGGTAATTGGTGGTACCATTGTTTGTAGACACAAGGTTATTGGTATTACCATTGTCTGTAGTTACAAGGTTATTGGTGGTACCATTGTCTGTAGTTACATGGTAATTGGTGGTACCATTGTCTGTAGAAACAAGGTCATTGGTGGTACCATTGTCTGTAGTTGCAAGGTTATTGGTGGTAGCATTGTCAGTAGTTACATGGTAATTGGTGGTGCCATTATTTGTAGAAACAAGGTAATTGGTGGTACCATTGTCTGTAGTTACAAGGTTATTGGTGGTACCATTGTCTGTAGTTGCAAGGTTATTGGTGGGACCATTGTCTGTGGTTACAAGGTTAATGGTATTACCATTGTCTGTGGTTACAAGGTTATTGGTAGTAGCATTGTCCGTAGTTGTGTAGTTACAAAATTATTGGTAGAACCATAGTCTGTAGTTATAAGGGTATTGGTAGTTCCATTGTCTGTGGTTACAAGGTTATTGGTGGTACCATTGTCTGAAGTTATATGGTTATTGGTGGTACCTGTTGTCTGTATTTACATGGTAATTAGTGGTTCCATTGTCTGTAGTTATATGGTTATTGGTTGTACCATTGTCTGTATTTACATGGTAATTGGTGGTTCCATTGTCTGTAGTTACATGGTTATTGCTGGTAACATTGTTTGTAGTTACATGGTTATTGGTATTACCATTGTCGGTAGTTACATGGTTATTGGTGGTACCATTGTCTGTAGTTACAAGGTTATTGGTAGTGCAATGTGTTAGTGTTTATTAAATAAATTGTAATACATGTACCACTGTTATGTCAAGGTTCTTTGCAGTACTCTTGTGGGTTATTCGCAGTACCATTGTTAACACTTTGTTTTTTTGTAGTACCCTTGTCAGTAATTGCAATGTTATTGACTTAACATCCAAAATTTTAGCATGGTTGAAATGTACAAAACTAAGGTAACAATTGCTTACTTTTGTAAGATTAACAAGGCATCACAAGTGGTGCAAATCACCTCGCATTCACACATTATGTGCCATATGTATGATGAAATGTATAGAAAATTCAATGATGTATCAGTATCTGCTCTAGTGACAGCATTCTTTGATGGATAATACCAATCACTTGTATGAAGTTTCATGAATTTTCCATTGAGAAATGAAGTTGCTAGAGCCATGACAAAGAGTGTAACATACGTACATACCGGTACCTGTGTACGAGCTAAATACTACATCCCCTTTTTGAAGTTTTGAAATTTCATACCACAACATTTATGTGTTTGCCACATTCACAAAATAAAAGGCCACATCACTAGTGATGAACAGCTTTTTGCTTTATATTACATGTGATGACACAGTGGCAAACATTTTCACTGGACAAATGAGACTAGGAAAGAAATGATTTCCCAATGCTTTAAGGCATCATATTTTATGTGTCCTTCTACAATATTGTCATAATTCGCAATAATATTCTCATTCAAAAATATAAATCATGAAAAATATCATTTTCCTGACAAAGCTGAAAATGTTATGGAATGTAAAAGTTCCTCAACTTGCGTCAGTTAGTTTTAAGAAATTATGTAACCCTTGTGTATTTTCAGAAATTGAAAAGCTTAAATTTGCTGTATGATAATCATCAAACTTGTAGTAACTAGCTAATGAGTCAGTGTCTATTTTATACCGTAGAGGTCTCTGGGACTTCCTGTCTCACGAGAAGAAAGGTGTCTGTACCTGATGACCAGACTCACTTTGAGATAGTTGAATCATATGACATTGCAAGGTCATCAAGTACACATGTCCTTAGGATTCCTTTGTGACAGGAAGGAATCTCCACAATAAAACACAGATAATCTTATGTCATCCAATTAACTGGTCTCCTAAACAAACACAGAAAGGCCAGCGTAAGCCTGTTATAAGCCATCCCGATCCTATGCCGCTAAACTAATCAGCCAACCCTCTGCAATCATCGACAACACCAATTAACTTTGGATAAATTAGGATTAACATTTAATTGCTTCCATTATTTTTTCCTGCTGGCACATATCTTCTGCGTTTTGCAGCTTGAATTAAAGAATTCCACAAGCTTTTTTAATGGTAATAATGAATCAGGGGCTACACATGTATGTGTACCTCATCAGTTGTCTCTAAAATTTCTCAACATCCACAATGCTAACTCACCAAGTCATAGAACACTTACTAACCAAGCCTTGTAGTGCTGTTAACATCCAATCCATATAACCTACTAACTCACCAATCCACACAACTGTACTATAAAGTCACCAATCCACACAGTCAACAATCCTCACAACATTACTAACTCACCAATCCACACAACATTACTAACTCACCAATCCACACAACATTACTAACTCACCAATCCACACAACATTAACTCACCAATCCACAACATTAACTCACCAATCCACACAATACTACTAAATACCCACCCATATAACACAAACTCACCAATCCACAACATTAACTCACCAATCCACAACATTAACTCACCAATCCACACAATACTACTAAATACCCACCCATATAACACAAACTCACCAATCCACAACATTAACTCACCAATCCACAACATTAACTCACCAATCCACAACATCATCTACATACTCACTGGTAGCATAACTTATTCACCAATCCACACAACACTACTAAATACCCACCCATATAATACAAACTCACCAATCCACAACATTAACTCACCAATCCACAACATTAACTCACCAATCCACAACATCATCTACATACTCACTGGTAGCATAACTTATTCACCAATCCACAAAACACTACTAAATACCCACCCATATAATACAAACTCACCAATCCACAACATTAACTCACCAATCCACAACATTAACTCACCAATCCACACCATTAACAACTCACCAATCCACACAACCTGTATATTATTAACTCACCAATCCACACAACTTACTCACCAACCCATTCAACACAAATTCACCAATCCACAACATTACCAGGTACTAACTCACCAATCCACATAATATTACAAAATTACCAATCCACACAACAAACATGACTTACCGGTACTCACACACAAAACTATAAACAGAAATATACCACACAACACAGCTTACTACCAAATAAATACAGTATACAAGCAACATACTACTTACTCATAAATACACTACCAACACATTACAGCTTACTCACAAATACACTACCAACACATTACAGCTTACTCACAAATACACTACCAACACATTACAGCTTACTCACAAATACACTACCAACACATTACAGCTTACTCACAAATACACTACCAACACATTACAGCTTACTCACAAATACACTACCAACACATTACAGCTTACTCACAAATACACTACCAACACATTACAGCTTACTCACAAATACACTACCAACACATTACAGCTTACTCACAAATACACTACCAACACATTACAGCTTACTCACAAATACACTACCAACACATTACAGCTTACTCACAAATACACTACCAACACATTACAGCTTACTCACAAATACACTACCAACACATTACAGCTTACTCACAAATACACTACCAACACATTACAGCTTACTCACAAATACACTACCAACACATTACAGCTTACTCACAAATACACTACCAACACATTACAGCTTACTCACAAATAAAAACTTTATCCTCAAAACATTGCTTACTACCAAATAAATACATTATACATGTACCTGCACCACACTGTAAACTCACAAATACACTACCAACACATTACAGCTTACTCACAAATAAAAACTTTATCCTCAAAACATTGCTTACTACCAAATAAATACATTATACATGTACCTGCACCACACTGTAAACTCACAAATACACTACCAACACATTACAGCTTACTCACAAATAAAAACTTTATCCTCAAAACATTGCTTACTACCAAATAAATACATTATACATGTACCTGCACCACACTGTAAACTCACAAATACACTACCAACACATTACAGCTTACTCACAAATAAAAACTTTATCCTCAAAACATTGCTTACTACCAAATAAATACATTATACATGTACCTGCACCACACTGTTAACTCACAAATACACTACCAACACATTTCAAGTAACCCATAAATAAATATTCTATCCACAAACTACCAACTAATTACATCATACTATCACCACACTGCTGACTTACACTACCAACACATTACTGCTAACCAAAAAATAAATATGCTATACATAAAACACTACTAACTACCAAATAGACTATGCTGGGGACATCCCCACACAACACTGGTAACTCTAAATGATTGATTCTTACATAATACAAGCATTACAAACTGCTGTGATTTTCCAGTGATATCATTAGCATTGTTCTTCAAATGCAATGTCTGAGTGTGTAATTGCTCTGAGTTTAGGATTTTCCTTATTGACAGTTAATTTCTAGAATGAACTGGCATTCTTTTTGATGCTGTAGCTGGCTTGATTTTTTAAATTTATTAATTAAATATCATCAATAAATGGATAACTTTTTTATGAATTTATACCATTTACCCAACAAAATGTTAAAAAATGCTGCCTGCTGACTGACTAGCAACATTGATATTGCTTGTTTCCATTTTTTTTTTTTTGTAATACAAATGGAAAATGTCATGTCATGTAATTAAGATTGGGAAACATCTCATTAAATCTTGAAAAAAAATGAAAAACCAAAATACACTAAAATAAAACCATTTGATTTTGTAACCCTATTCCATCATGAGACTTGATGCAATCATTTTTTACTGTTTAATAATTCAATACATGTCATTATAGTTTCCTAGTTGAAGAAGGAAACATGGAGCCCAATAATTCTAGTTTTTGTATCCTAAATCAAATTCTAGCCATCAAAATGTACCTTTTCTATAGTATTTATATCTTTGAAAACATAAATGTTAACTAACATAAATTTTACAGTAATTAATTCAGGAGAAAAAGGAAATTAACCTGAATTACCATGGACCAGCTTAGTGCCAACAGAATTCAACATTGTGTAAAACAATTAGGAAAGAGGGGCAGAGCTGAAAGTTGGAAATAGAGGTTTAATCTATATAAAAAGGATTGTGCCTTATGAGTGATTGGATTTAGACCAACTGTAATTTGGCACAACACTGTCCCTAGATGAAGGGATTTCAGTATTGTATAAATGCAGGCTGTGTATCTGTTTTAGAGAAAAAGGACAGGAACCAGTAGGGGAACTGGGACAACAAACATCGACTTCAATTCCAGGTCTTATGAGTGTTTAACAGAAACTGGTGCCAATGATCATCTCATGACCAGATTCTGTCTGTTGCCTCCTCCTGAGAAATAATTCTCTTCTTTCAATTCAATCTTCATCTGGCTGATTTTAACAAAACTTGATACAAATATTTCCCTTATAATCCTGACCAAGTGTTATATTGCAGACCAATACACAAAGTTGACTACCTGCACACAGTTCTCTGATTGGTTGCGATATTTTTCACTTCTCCTATCTTTGATCTGTTCATTGGTCAAGAGTCAAGAGTCAAGAAGCTCTGTTTAAAGTCGCATATACATGTAACATAATAACATTAGCACTGTAGTGCTATTCTTGCGACAAAACATATGTAAAATTTAACAAGGATCACAGTACTTATGAATATAATTATATATGTATAAAAACAAGACATCAATTCAAATTAGATACCTGGTATGCTAAAAATATACAGTAGAGCACATGAAATCACATTTCTGCAAAATAATTTAATAGTGAACACTTGAAAGTCACACAAGTGTTACAAAACACAAGTTAAGACACTATCATAGTATAATGTACATGTATGCTAATGTAGCAAAGTGTAAAAATGTACAGGATATACACT